CCTCTTTCTCCCTGAGGTTTGGGCGGGGGGGAACTCTTGTGGTAGGGTTTGGAGACTTGGCAGGGAGCCAGCTTCAAACCATATCACACCACCAAAATGTTTCTACAACAATGTGCACAGCATGAGGAACAAACAAGAGAAGATTGAAGCTTTGTCCCAGTCCCAGAGATTTGATATCACTGGCATAAGCAAAACCTGGTGGGATGAGACCTGTGACTGGAGAAACCTGCTGGGTGGTTACAGGCTCTTCAGGTGGGATAAGCAGGGCAGAAGAGGTGGAGAGGTTGCACTGTGTGCAGTAGAGGGATTAGAATGTATGGAGCTCACAACTGGCAATGGCACAATTGAGAGCCCCTGAGTAAGAGTCAAGGGGCAAACAAATAATGCAGATTTCATTGTGGGAGTCTGCTATAGACCTCCCAACCAGGATGATGGTGCTGACTAATTATTCTTTGAGGAACTAAGGGACATTTCCAAGTCAACTGTCCATGTCCTTATGGGAGACTTCAACTTGCCAGAAATTAACTGGGAGCATCACACAGCTGGTACAGCCCAGGCCAGAAGATTCCTAAAAAACCTGAATGGCAACTTTATGGAACAGGTCTTAAGGGAGCTGTCATGTGAAAAGGGAAGATTTTCCCTCCCCTTAGTGAGGGGAGATTTCCTCGACCTGTAGTGTTTGATTTATCTGTCAGTGCCCCAGGAAAGCCAAGACGGTTGTGCCCAAACAGTCTGCAAGTGTCCTGCTATTGGGACCCTACACTGATCAATCCTGCTGGATCGGGGGCAATTTGACTGCCCTTTTTAGAGAACTATGCCAACAGTGTATGGGAGACCCCTCAGCAGGTATTCCCACTTTATTTGATTGTGTTACCCCCTGCCAGCAACTGCTGGTCACTGTGAAGGGCTCACATGGACAGTTTATGGAATAGAACTCTTTATCAATATAAAATTGTGACAGGTTAAGGTTCAAAGATTGCTGATGATGAGCATCTCACTGCAAAAGCATATTTAAAGCAATAAAATTATTCAGCACAGGTAGAGTGTAGTTCTTACCCAATATGCGTCCCTATATGGGGGGAAAGGAGAAGTTCAGCCTGTCAACTGATCACAGCAATTATGATGGGGTCTTCCCTAAATTTCCCTCATTCTTGACTTTCTTTCTTTATGTTTAAATGGTGCCTGAATGACTTTAGTCATAAATACCTTTGTTGCTGATTGATGTAAAATTGTTCTGCTTTGCTTTTAAAGATACAGTCAAAACAATATGAAGTGCACACCTGGTGGGGATAGTCATACCTTGGAGGTGGGTAACTTTGAAATTGAGGTGTGAATTGATATTACAATTAGGATTCAATGATCCAAGTTCATCCTAGAAGCAACAAACTTTGTTGACACAGCAGGACACCTTCTCCCCTCTCTGTGGGGTGACAGGTGCTATGTGGTTTATCAACTCCGAAGTACCACGGAGTTCCTTTCCCTGAAAAGGTTTCTACAGAGCCATGGTGTCTCCACTGTGCTCCACCCTCCATTCCATCGCCCTTAGTATGTGCTTACTGTTGTGTGGGAAATCATCATGGAACTGCCAACGTCATTCCATCCAGAGAGTAGTAGCTGCATTTTACCCTACAATTTTCTTACCGTTATAACTTCTGTTAGGATGTAAATATAACTTCTCAGTTTCCTCTGATTTTTACACCCAGCCATCTTCCCACAAGAGCTACTCAGAAAGATACTCTCCTTGATCTGCTTCTTGTCAACAGATTGGATCTCGTGAGACCAGTGGGTCTCAAACGGGAGATCGGTGGCTGTCTTGGCCACGGTGACCACAAAGCAATTGAGTTTAAAATCTCTGTTGACAGGAGGAAAAGTGCCAGCAAAACCTCACCTCTGGATATGAGGAGAGCAGACTTTGGGCTGATAAGTGAATTAGTAAGGTCCCCTGGGAAAATGGTGCTGGGGTCCATCAGTGCTGGTCACTTTTCAAACCAAACATCACCTCCTAAGGACACAGGACTCCAAATGTTAGAAGTCAACCAGGAGAGGCAGAAGGCTCGCTTGGCCGAGCAGGGAACTTCTCTTAGAAATAAGACAAAAAATGAAGGAGTCCAGTGGAAGCAAGGTCAAGGGACACAGGAAGATGTTACTTTTTACTGTAGCGAGAAAATTCATGTGGCCAAAGCTCAGCTGGAGTTGATGATGCCAGAAATGTGGGGGACATTAAAAAGAGTTTTTTCAAATACATTAATGGCAATAAGCAGTATAGAAATATCATTGGCCCGTGAGAGTATGAGGATGGTCACCTCACAAACAGGGACAGAGACAAGGCAGAGGTGTTTAACGCTTTCTTTGCCTCTGTCTTCAACATGTATTATGGACGAAGGGGGTCTCAGTGCCCTGAGCTTGAGAACCATGACTGTGATCAACTCCTAGTTGAGCCTGAAATGGTGTGGGATCTGCTGCTCCACCTGGAACCTTACAAATCTATGGGCCCTGATAGGATTCTTCCCAGAATTCTCAAAGAGCTGGCTGATGTCATAAAACCTCTCTTGATGATTTTTTTAGTGGTCTTGGGAACCCAGAGAGGTCCCACTTGACTAAAAGCTGGGGAATGTTGTCCTGATCTTGAAGAAGGTCAAGAAGGAGGACCCTAGAAACTACAAGTCTGTCTGTCTCATTTCAGTGCTGGATGGAGTTATGGAGAAGATTATTCTGGGAAGTATTGAAAAACACCAAAAAGACAACACAGTCATCACAGCTTCATGAGAGGAAAGTCCTGCTTATCAAACCTAAATTTCTTTTATGACAAGCTAACCAACCTAATTGATCTAGGAAAGTCAGTTGATATAATCTTTTTAGATTACAGTAAAGCTTTCCATACTGTGTCTCACAGGATCCTTTTGGACAAAATGTCCAGCACACAGCTGGATAAACACATCACTTGGTGGGTGAGCAATTGGCTCATGGGTGAAGCACAGATGGTAATAGTGAATGGGTAAACATCAGACTGGTGACCTGTCACTAGCAGGGTTCCACAGGACTCCATCTTAGGCCCTGTGCTCTTCAACATCTTCATAAATGACTTGGATGCANAACATCAGACTGGTGACCTGTCACTAGCAGGGTTCCACAGGACTCCATCTTAGGCCCTGTGCTCTTCAACATCTTCATAAATGACTTGGATGCAGGACTGAAAGGGATACTAAGCAATTTTGCAGATGATACAAAAGACATTGACTCCCTTGAAGACAGGGAGGCCCTGCAAAGAGACCTCGACAAATTAGAGGACTAAGCAATCAGCAAACATATGAAGTTCAACAAGGGAAAGTGGCAGATTCTGCACCTGAGATGGGGCAACCACCGATATACGTATAGACTGGGGAATGAGATGCTGGACAGCAGTGTCACAGAAAGGGAGCTGGAGGTCCTGGTGGATGGCAAGTTGAATATGAGTCAGCAGTGCCCTGGCAGCCAGGAGGGCCAACCATGTCCTGGGGGGCATCAGGCAAAGCATCACCAGCTGGTCGAGGGAGGGGATTGTCCCGCCCTGCTCTGCACTGGGGCGTCCTCACCTTGAATATTGTGTGCAGTTTTGGCCACCACAATGTAAGAAAGATGTTAAGCCATTAGAGAGCGTCCAAAGGAGAGCAACAAAGATGATGAAGGGCCTTGAGTGGAAGCCGTATGAGGAGTGGCTGAGGGCACTTGGTCTGTTCAGCCTGGAGGAGACAGAGGAGATGTCATTGCAGTCTACAACTTCCTTGGGAGAGGAAGAGGAGGGGCAGGTACTGATCTCTTCTCTGTGGTGACCAGTGAAAGGACCCAAGGGAATGGCCTGAAGTTGTGTCATGGAAGGTTTAGGCTGGATATTAGAAAAAGTTCTTTACCCAGAGGTTGAGGACTCATGTCCCTTGGGCACTGGAACAGGTTCCCCAGGGAAGTGGTCACAGCACCAAGCATGACAGAGTTCAAGAAGAGTTTGAATGATACTCTCAGGCACATGGTGCGACTCTTGGGGACAGTCCTGTTCAGGGTTGAGAGCAGGACTTGATGATGCTTGTGGATCCCTTCCAACTCAGCATATTCTGTGATTCTGTGATATGTAGAAAGGGTTCTGTAGAGAGTTCAAGACCAGATTGGATGGGGCTCTGAACAACCTGGTCTACTTGAAGGAAGGGGGTTTGTAAAAAAAGAAGTTAGATCACAGAAAGAAAAAGCAGGTCAAAAGAAGATTAAAAAAAAAAAAAGAAAGAAAAGACGAAGTAAAACGTACTTTAAATTATTTTATTTTAATTGTTTGGTTTTTCTTCATGAATTTTTGGTCTCACGTACCTTGTGAGCATGCTTTAATATTCCTCAAGAGGTGTTTAGAGAGCAACTCAGACNCTGGGTGGTTACAGGCTCTTCAGGTGGGATAAGCAGGGCAGAAGAGGTGGAGAGGTTGCACTGTGTGCAATAGAGGGATTAGAATGTATGGAGC